ACACACACACACACACACACACACACACACACTCACACACACACACACACACACACACACACACACACACTCACACACACACACACACACACACACACACACACACACACACACACACACACACACTCACACACACACACACACACACACACACACACACACTGCTATATGCACAGAGGTGCTGCTTCTCAACAGGCAAGGCAGGCAACTGCTTGGGGCCCCAGACCAGCAGGGGGCCCTTGATGGCTCACAAACTTTAAACTACAGCAGCAGCCCAAAGTCCAAATTCTGAATGACAGTCGGAAACCTCCCTAAGGGGCCTCTGCTAAGCATTGCATACGTTTTTGCTTTGAACTCCAAAGTTTGTCAATGAAAGCCAACCAAGAAAAATGAATCGAGGAATTATCTGTTTATAGGAGAGAAAACAGACACTGGCACACACAATGGTGAAAAATGTGGGCCTTGCCTGGGGCTTTGGGGGGAAGGGAAGGGATGGGGTAAACAGGTGAACAGGGTTGTGGACTGATCCTGCAACATGACAAACTATCGTTTTTTGTTTTCTTGGAGAGCTGGTAGAGAAACAGGAAGGGATCATGCAGGGAGCAAGGCGAGCACAAACACGCCCAACTATTCGTAAACGACTTTACAGGAAAACAAACCCAAAGTCGATTATAATAAGCAGACTTAGCAACACGTGTGGTGGTGGTGTACTGGAGTGTGTTAATATATACTGAACCAAATCATCCTATGTCATGATAAACAGTGACACTACCCGCTTTTGACCAGAAGGTGGAAGCATTGTCTAAACCAAGAGAAATACACCACACCACATCTAACATGATTCATGCTTTATTCACAACCAAGACATTAAAAAAAGGATGTTCAAGTAAGGTTGAAGACGTGCTGCAGCATAACACCAAACGTCTCCAACATTTCAGACGTCATGATAGAGCAGGATTACAACACGGTAATGACAATGCAAAACACAAAGTTTTCATTTCATTTATTATACAGTAAAGTTTAAAAGTAACATTAGGTTACAGTTTAAAGGGCCTGACTCAGTTTAAAAACTGGTTTCCAGCAGGTTCCTGTTCTGCAGTACAGATAGTGCCAACAATACTTGAACAATACATGAACAATTAATTGTTTATCAGAGTTGTTGGAAAATAAAAGGAGCGGTATGTAACTCTGACACCTAGTGTTTAAAATGGGTACTGCAGTCCAAATTCTAAACATTGTAGAGAGCAAAAAATATTTGGCTTTGGCCACAAATGTATGTCATGGATTAAGCTCTGTGTCAGACTGTGCCGTCCTCATTCATACACGGCCTGCTCTGACCTCCACCTCAGCGGAGAGGAAGTGTGAACAGGAATACAAAGGAGAAATCCTTCCTGCATATCATCCCATATGCTCTTTTTGAAACATCTCCAGATAACACTGTTATTAATCGGAGCTCTACAAATAATGATTGACATCTTTTTCAACGTTTACCCGTTTTTATTCCAAAACATTTTTCCCACTCACTCGATCGTTCCATTTCTGATTTTTTATGAAACAAAAATGTTCCCAAAACTTCAAAAAACCAGGCTGAGGAGTCCTCACGTGGTTCTTCTTCACTAAGGTCACTCTTGTGTCTGACATCACCATCAGTGATTCACTCCAACAATGTTATAGTTAAAAACTGCCTCAAGATCTGGTCTCAACTCAGACGCCACTTTGGATTTTTAAGCAGCACCTCTCCTAACTCCAATAAACTCCAACCCTTTGCTTTTGTAACCTGCAGATCATGGGATTGTCTCTGTAAAGCATCTTTACATCATTTGAACTTCACCATCTTTGAATCAGTCAGTGACCCACTTCTTTAGATATTTACAAGCTCCAAACTTTGTCTGCAACAATTTCCCTAGTTTCCCTGCTCTCCCTCCTCCCACCATGACTGACACAGTTTTTAACATGAATCCTCTCCTCAAAGGTATCATCTCTAGAACAATACCCTCTTTGCAGGCCAGGAGTCGGCCTCAGTAGTACTGAAACGTGTTCACACATCCTTTGTGCCAGACACTGGGTCTTAAAATGCAAAGTACCGTATTTTCCGCACTATAAGGAGCACCGGATTATAAGGCGCACCTTCAATGAATGGCCTATTTTAGAACTGTTTTCATATATAGGGCGCACCGGATTATAAGGCGCATAGAATAGAACGTGTTTACAACTGAACAAGGCTGGGAGATATTGTGAATATATAAATATAAATACGTATAAAACACAACGTATAAAACTACAAAAACAAAAGTACATAAGACGATTTCCCCAAATAATAAATTATTTCTTTGACGTTTCTCTTAACTCTCAAAACGTAGTTTTATACGTAGTGCATTCACAATAACTCAACGTTGTTCAAACGTTAATGTGCATATTCACAATATCTCCCAGCCTTGTTCAGTTGTAAACACGTAAAAGAAACACAGTCTGATACCGCTAATTCAAACGTTAGTGCAGGGGTGCCCAAACAGTCGATCGCGATCGACAGGTAGATCGCTGACTGATTCTCAGTCCATCCAGATGTTTAGTCAATATGAAATACAATTGTAAAATAGAAAAGTGATTTCAATTTCATCTCATTGCACTGTTTCCCACACACGATACCTGTGTTGGGAGCCCAAGTATACTTCCGACCTGTGTGTATTTAATTTTTCATTTATTCATGAAATTGCTGCGTGCATAAGAGAGCGAGAGAGAGAGAGAGAGAGAGAGAGAGCACGCGCAAGAGAGAGAGAGTGCAGGCATGCGCAATGACGTGCAGGTAAAACCGGGGGGGTAAATGTTTTACCAAAAAGTCATATATAGAAACTATGCTACGAGTATTAAGCGCATTTGATGAAGCTGCAGCTACTTTTCTCTGCTCCTCTCTGCTGTCATGACTGTGAGCATCGCGGGGCACGAGACACACCAACAAACAGCGCAAACGCACACGCACACGCACACACGCACACACACACACACACACACACACACACTTGCACTGGAGCGCCAGCCACCACGCGAACCTTTTTACTTTTTACTTTTAGTGCTACAGCACACAGTTGATCCGTGATCCGTACGGACCGAGGTGGGAACACACGTGACCCGGTCAAACAGTCGGTTGGACTTTACTCCGTTCACTCTCACCGTGTCTGCAGCTAATTTAACAAAAGCAAAATCATCTCACAGCAGCCTGCTGTAGTCTGTAGTCGGCATTATTTTTTACAGAACTCTCATTTATTATTTTCTGTTTGTTGTGTGAGTATTAAATGCGTTTGTAGGCTGTTGGTAAAGGCTATGGCTCACTATGTGGACTGGTAGATCTCGGCAGACTGGGAACTTTAAAAGTAGATCTTGGTTCAAAAAAGGTTGGGCACCCCTGCGTTAGTGCAGAACTCAACATTGTTCAGTTACGTATAACACATAAAGCTCACTTCTTCAGTTCATTCCCCGTCCACGAATCCCTCGAATTCTTCTTCAGTGTCCGAATTGAACAGTTGGGCGAGTACGGCATCCAACATGCCCGGCTCCCTCTCGTCATTATCCGAGTCAGTGTCGCTGAGCGCCGTGTACAACCAGTATGGATCAACCAATTAACCAATTGATCCATATATAAGGCGCTCCGGATTATAAGGCGCACTGTCGTTTTTTTGAGAAAATTAAAGACTTTTAAGTGCGCCTTATAGTGCGGAAAATACGGTAATTCATAGAGTCCACTGGTCAAAAAGCAGATTAGCTGGTATCTATCCTGGCACTGACCCTACTGTAGGTGTAATACATGTCAGAGCCAGATAAGCTTGCCCACATGTCTTGGACCTGTGCTGTATAATTTCCATATTGGAAGTCTGTTTTCGACTCACTCTCTACCATCACCTCCGCTAACATCCAGCACTCACCCATGTTTGGCCTGTTTGGTGTTCTGCTAACTGACCGTGCACTGACCTCTCATTGTTCTGACCTTGTACATTTCTTACTTTACCAGCAAGGCGTGCTGTTTTGATGCAGTGGAAGTGTCAAGTTTGGGAGTGTAAATCAAGGGAGGAGGACCCAAGTTCAGAACTACAAATATTTATTATTCAAGAGACTTCTTCATTCTAAACAACAAGGAGCCGGGCGGTGCGTTACAGCTGAATTATGCCTGATTTTGGGTTGCTGTAGCACCCTCAGCACCTGTACTTCCCTCGTCCCTGAGCTCATGTGTAGGTAGGCTGGAACATTAGGAAAGAGAAAAGGAAATGCCCCCTTTGAATTTTGAACAGCTGCTTCAGTGGGTTTATCCTGCTCTCCACCGGGTTTAAAAGGCATGCAGCTTTTTCCCATGCAGACATTTACTACTCTTTATGGATTTGGGGAGAAGGTAATAAGATAGGTCAAAGTGTTTTTTAGTCTTTTTTTAATGTGTCTTTGGCACTTCAGCAATCAGGTCTGAGCTTACGGCCCTGTGTGGGATGATGTCACAGAACAGCATCTCAGCAGATTTCTTTCATGATGAATGTGAGTTGAATCCTAGTGAACTGTCATGTTTGATGGAAACCTGTCTGATGAAGGGCGAGGGCCCGAAGCGTTACATCAGGAGATTTTTCCATTCAATTTCATTGGAGCAGCTTCTGGTGTGCGGACTCAGAACTTTTCTATCTTTGGATGTTTTTTCAGCACCCAGTACTTCAATGTTTGGATGTGCATGCTGTGTTGATGTTTCTGACAGAAACCTCACTGATGAGTACATTTTCTACGGTCTTGTTTCATCATATATGATCAAAAGGAAGGAGTGTAATGTATTATCTTGTTTAAGCAAATGAAAGTGAACCAGTACTGGCCTTCAGTAAAGAAGTGAAACTTTCTGCTGGCACATACCATATAAACTTATCAGCCCAGCTGCGCTCTGTAGCTGTATATTTTATTTCTAGGGAAATTAGTCAGTTGGTAAAGTAAACAGTTGCTGAAAGGACACGGCCGTCTTTTCCTATAAAACGGGGCTTGAAGTGTCAGAAAGTCAGTCAGTCAGCCTGCTCACTTTGTGTGTACTGCTCTGACCCTCCTCCGATGCTTACACCTTTGCTCCTCTGCAAAACCACACTCTTCACCGTTTCAGACGCCACGACCAGACGAAGACAACAACCGCCGCCGCTCTACTTCAAACTCCAAAGGTTTGTTTTTTCTCTCCTCTCACTGTAACATGTTCAGCTCTTTAATACTTTAGACTTTCACAGATTAGTCTGAATGACATAAAGAATGAATTCATGTTTCACAATATTAATATGAAGTCCTAAATGATATCATTTGCACAGCATTTAAATGAAGTGTTTATCTGACTAAATAGAGATTTAATAGTTTTCAGCTTCTGTCAATTCTTGAGCGATCCACTGAGCTGTAATATTTAACTGTAATCAAGATGCTCTCTGTTGATCTCAGACTGAGAATAACAGTTTGTAACAGAACGTAGACACATACCTCCTCTGACAGAAAATGTCTAATCATCACTCTTTCCACATTTTCTTCACTTTAGGAAATCATGAGGATCCAGTTTGCTTTGTTGCTGCTGCTTTCTGTGCTCTGCATCGCCGCTGCTGAGGATGAGCGTCACAGAAAGTTTAGAGAACAGCACGTCGTTGGCAGTACAGTGACCAGTTGTCAGTCAATTATGAATGACCCAAAAAGAGAGATCAATATCAAATCTTGCAAAGAGTCTCATAAATTCATCGTCGATTCAGGAGAAAGTCTCAAAACAATGTGTGGCTCATCCACGGGCGAGGTCACACGGAACAACAAAATTCTTCTGTGCAGACTGAAACCAGGGTCCGTATATCCTAATTGTGTGTACATCCTGGGTAGATCTTTCACCGGCTCGATCACAGTTACATGTGAAGGCGGATATCCTGTGCACTATGTGGGTTAATGAAACTGATGAAGTCAAAGCTGTGTCGTTTTCTTGATCTTAAACAGTCGCGCACATTGACAGCGTGACGCAGCAATATTAATAAAGTTCACAGCATCGTTGATTTTGTGTTCTTCATTTTATTCATCTATTCAACAACTTTCAAACATTTCATGGAATAACTCATGACATTCTCGTTTCTTCAGTGATCATAAAAGACTTTCAGCAGATGTGTGTTCAGTCAGAGCTGATCAGGTTTTTACTTTAGTCAAAGTGTGCTTCTACTTCCTCCTGGTGTCTGAGTGTGGATGAGATGAGCAGATTAAAGATGTTGGAAAAAGTGAATTATTTTAGAGGGAATAAACACTTGTGATATAAACACAAACTGATTATCACAACATATAACCCCCAGATAAGAGTAAAACAAATAAAAAAGTACGTCGACCGCCCACAGAAACACACTTTATTTATAATGTCGCCTGTTTCAAAAGACAGAGCGAGAGCAAGCTGAGAAAAAACAGCTTTTAACAACTTTACAAAAAGAAAGGTGTGCTAAGCTAATAGCAGCCTCTGAACAGAAAGGTGAGCACACCTCACAGTTTGAGAACAAGTGAAGGTTAAAGCAGCTGTTAGAGGAATTCAGACAGGAATATCGTTTCAATCATACTTGTGTTTTTTCTTCATAAATGTTTCATATTAATCCCTTTCATTGGCACGATTTCATACGACCCTATTTGATAAAGATATTACACTTTGGAGCGAGGCTTAACGCCTTTCCAAGCGAGCTACAGAAACATATTTGATATGTTCATATGATGCAATATCAATGTTGTGGCGCTAGCTTTAAAACTGAATCCTCGACTTCTGCCTAAAAAACGATATCTTTAGCGTCAGGTGAGACTATTTCTAATGAAGTGATAGAAGAATAAAAGTCAGAACTGAGAAGAACTTTTACAGCCTCATTTTAAAGTCATGGCAGAATCCAATTCAGATTTCTAATGTTTACAGTTAATCCTTAATGCCAGTAGAACAATCGAACCAATAAGATCCCTTTAGACTGAAAAAGCCTTTGGAACATTAATTATAATTAATTATAACAAGTTAAAAGAATAATGCTGCTGGAAAGGTTCAAATATCTGAAAGGTTCAAATATCACAAAGTTTAAAGAGGACATCATCCTCCTCCTCCACCTTTTCAAACAGTCCTCCTCCACCTTTTCAAACAGTCCTCCTCCACCTTTTCAAACAGTCCCCTCCTCCACCTTTTCAAACATTCCTCCTCCACCTTTTCAAACAGTCCCCTCCTCCACCTTTTCAAACATTCCTCCTCCACCTTTTCAAACCAGCCCCCTCCTCCACCTTTTCAAACATTCCTCCTCCACCTTTTCAAACAGTCCTCCTCCACCTTTTCAAACAGTCCTCCTCCACCTTTTCAAACAGTCCCCTCCTCCACCTTTTCAAACAGTCCCCTCCTCCACCTTTTCAAACAGTCCCCTCCTCCACCTTTTCAAACAGTCCCCTCCTCCACCTTTTCAAACAGTCCTCCTCCTCTTTTCAAACAGTCCCCTCCTCCACCTTTTCAAACAGTCCTCCTCCACCTTTTCAAACAGTCCCCTCCTCCACCTTTTCAAACAGTCCTCCTCCTCCACCTTTTCAAACAGTCCTCCTCCACCTTTTCAAACAGTCCCCTCCTCCACCTTTTCAAACAGTCCTCCTCCTCCTTTTCAAACAGTCCCCTCCTCCACCTTTTCAAACAGTCCTCCTCCACCTTTTCAAACAGTCCTCCTCCTCCTCCTTTTCAAACAGTCCTCCTCCACCTTTTTAAACAGTCCTCCTCCACCTTTTCAAACAGTCCTCCTCCTCCTTTTCAAACAGTCCTCCTCCTCCTTTTCAAACAGTCCTCCTCCACCTTTTCAAACAGTCCTCCTCCACCTTTTCAAACAGTCCCCTCCTCCACCTTTTCAAACAGTCCCCTCCTCCACCTTTTCAAACAGTCCTCCTCCTCCACCTTTTCAAACAGTCCCCTCCTCCACCTTTTCAAACAGTCCCCTCCTCCACCTTTTCTAACAGTCCTCCTCCACCTTTTCAAACAGTCCCCTCCTCCACCTTTTCAAACAGTCCTCCTCCACCTTTTCAAACAGTCCCCTCCTCCATATTTTCAAACAGTCCCCTCCTCCACCTTTTCAAACAGTCCCCTCCTCCACCTTTTCTAACAGTCCTCCTCCACCTTTTCAAACAGTCCCCTCCTCCACCTTTTCAAACAGTCCTCCTCCACCTTTTCAAACAGTCCCCTCCTCCATATTTTCAAACAGTCCCCCTCCTCCATCTTTTCAAACAGTCCCCTGTGGTCTAAATGAAACATCTGTGCTTTGGTCAAAATATAACATGAATCAAGCACCAGAGGAGGTTTGTGACCCTGTATAAACCAGCTCTCTCAGAACGCTCCGTTTTAGTGTGTGTGTCTCTTTAAATGCAATGACCCCCCCCCCCCCACCCCCCAAGTTTTCCCCATAGACATCACTCCTTTGTAGAGAGAATAAAAATGGCCGACCTACTCAAAGGTTTTTCTCTGGGGGTGGAGTCTATGGGTGGAGATATCAGGGGAGGGGAGGAGAGGGGATTTTATTTAACCAGAATCCCACTGTGACATCACAAGGAGAGCACATTAGAAACAGAGCATTTTTATTTCACATGTTGTGGGTCAGTAGACACTCAGGTTACCCACATATATGTTCAGAAACACTGTAGAAGAGGATTTTTCATAATATGTCCCCTTTAAATTATTTTTATGGGGAAATATCACAGTGATTATTTATCTCCCTCTTTGATTGATTGATTGATTGATTGATTAAATTTATTTCAGACATATCAAATAAAATCAAACATATCAAAAATACAAACAAAACAAAATAAATTAAACAAAAAACAATGTTCAAATTATTTCACAAAAAAAGAAAAAGCAAATTACATATATTCAATTGTTATGCCTGAAAAGGGGTAGAAAGAAGTATAAAACTTCTTAATCCTACCCCTTTTCCACAGCTCAATAATTAATATTTATTAAATTAAATTAACTTCCTGTGTTCCTTATATTCTCTCTCTATATACAATCTATCTATATACAATTTGCTACACTATATTTATGATACTATATTTGATATTTACAATCCAATGATTTTCCATACATATACACAACTTGATATGCTATTATTTTTTATAATTTATATATTTATACAATCCATATATCTATATATACATATCTATTTGTACAATTTGATGTACTATATATACATTTTATATATTTATACAACCCTTATATCTATACAGTTTGGTACAGTATGTTTGCAATTATACATTTGATACAATCTATATCTATATATATACAATTTGATATAGGCTACTATATGTACAATTTACATATATAGAATATACATTAACATACACCTGTGTATACAAAACTTGTAAACCCAATTATTATTATTGTTATTGTTATTTTATTTGTTTTATTATTATTATTATTATTATTATTTTTTTTTTTTATATATATTTTTTTTCCTTCTTAAAGCTCTCCTTCGTCCCTGTACCTTTTGAAAATCATTGCTTTGTAAATGTTTTTAAACTGGATCATGTTTGGACAATGCTTTAGCTCCGTGCTCATACCATTCCACAGTTTCACACCACCAATTGAAATGCATTGACTTTTTAAAATGTAACTTTTCCCTCAAATTATAACCCCCCTCTCTGTCAAAAAAACATTTTTGAATATTACCTGGTAGCAGTTTGTTTCTTGATTTGAACATGATTTGTGCCACTTGATAGTCAACCAGGTCAATGAACTTTATAGTACGGGAATGTAAAAACAGGAGGTTGGTGTGATCATAATATTCTGCTTTATTGATTGTTCTTATGGCTCGTTTTTCAAGTGTGACTAGTGGTAGCAGTGAGCTTTTGTAAGTGGTCCAACAGACCTCCACACAGTCATTTAAATAAGGTAAGATCATTGAACAGTAGAGAATATGCAATGATTTGTGATCCAACATATGCTTTGCTTTACACAGGACTGAGATGCTACGTGGGTGTAAAACAAAGCATCATTGTTTAAAGTTTTTATGGATCATTTGTGTGATGGAGGCGTGGTTGTAGAAATTCTCCGGGCATAGTTTGGGCGGTGGTGGTGGAGGAGGCCCAATGTGAGGTCTTCTCATGGGGCGCTCCCGGCCCGTGACAGTACATGGGGAGTTCATAGGTCAGACGTCTAGCCTGCAGGAGAAACCGTTGTGGGCTTTAAAAGTGATGCGAGGTTAGGCGAGGTGTAGAGCTGCTGCTGCTGATGTCAGGACGTGACTCCTTTACATTTACGTTTTTAAATGTAAGCAATTATTAAACACACGGAGCCGAGGTCACCTATAAGAGGGGTTAAAGGGGAACGCTTTGTGGGGTCCTGTCACATGGGGAGGGTACACGGACGTTAGCAAAAAACAAGGTCCGCCCTAATTTAAAGCAACAGAAACACACATTTTATTTATTGTTGCTTCAGTGAAATGTATTCCCCCTCTTCTTAGACGATTTGACCTTTTGTGTTGTTGTGATGTTTACTCAGTGAACTGAACTTAGTTAAGTCACATTTGGTAGAGCTGCACAAAGTTACCCAGAACTTCCACCACATGCGTGTGTGTTGTGTGTCCGCTCCGTTAAGGCTCCGTGCACCCTCGTCCATCAACACCCACAGGCTGCGTCCTCAGAGCGCAGCACGGCGCGGCACCGCCGGACAGCTGGAGTCACCAGACAAAGAATTCATGCAGTAATTTCACCTGCTACAGCGCGAGATAAAACGATGTATGTGGTATAAAACCATTTAAAACACAACAACAAACACACATCTGATTGTTGAATCGTCTAAACAGAGTGTTTCATTCTGTTTTCTTGTAAATTGAAGCTCCGTGCTCTGACATCCTGCAGAAACTAAAGCCTTGTGTATCTGCTGCAGAGGACTCTGGACGCAGAGAGCTGAGACGCAGCGCAGCGGAGCCAGTGGAAGCACACACATTGAATGAAATAAAAACAGAGACGGACCGGACACACATCTGGTGGAATTTAGGCTTTAGGAGGCCAGAAAAGAAAGAAG